AGAGGGCAAAATTTACTCTGTTACCTCTTTGTTGACATCGGGATGATACTTGAGAGCCAGTTTCCGATAAGCCCTCTTGATTTCATTTGGAGTTGCAGTCGGAGAAACACCAAGCACTTCGTACGGCGACTCTCTGCGACTCGCTCTCACCAGGGTTAAGCAGCTCCTCCTCCTATACGTCAAGTAACTCGATTCAAAGCTCGGCGGCGCCAACAACGGGTAGCTGAAGAACCGGCGGAAGGATATTGAAGATTTTGCTTGATTTCGCGAAAAGAAAATTGAAGGATGAGAAGCAGATCTTGAGAAGGCGTCGGAAATGATTTGCGTTGTAGCCAATTCGAGCATGTTCGTGAACTAATCGTCGATTCCTTTTCTCTCTCGGTTTGTTTTTCTTCTCATTTTACTTGAGGCTTCAATTGAGACATTTGGCTTTCGGATTTGGTTTTGTTGCTTGTGGCCCTCACTTTTTGGCGTTGGATTAAATAGGTTTTGTACACGAAGTTACTCATTTACCATACATTCATATATCCCACTTTTGGCGGCGGCGCTGCATTTCTCGGGGCTCCGAACAGATTCCCGGCCATCCGCCGTGGATTTGTTTCCTCTTCCGATGAGTACGTTGAGCTTATTGACTCCAAACTCGATTAATCATCAATGGACTAAACCGTTTGACACATTTTGCTGCGAAGCTCATAGGTTTCTACGCCGCATGTGGCAAAATCACATGCTTGGACATTGTTCAACAAAATCACCCACAAAACTGTCCAACAAAATCACCCACATAACAACCTCCCCCGTGGATTGTCTTGATTGGGGTCAATCTCTCAAGGGGTGTGGTATATTGTTAGATCCTATATCAATTGGAGAGAAAACTAAACATTGCTTATAGAGGTGTAGATACCTCTCTCTTTCTGTCCATACTTTGAGATATTGTTCTTATTTGAGATATTGTTCTTATTGAGATAAAGTTCAAAAAGAACAATATCCGTTTAGTTTGGGTATTACAAGAATGCTCAGGAGTCTGTGAGTGTGAGTGTCTGAATGAATGGTAGGGGGAAGGATTTGGTGGCATTGAATGCGATGGTTTCAGGCTATGCTCACCAAGGACCAGCAGAAGAAAATTTGGTGGCATTGAATGTTATTTATTATGATATCTGAAAGGAATTCAGCTACTTGAAACTCCATGATTTTTTGCTATGCTAGCTAATCAAGGAATTCAGATGATGAATGATGATGAGAAGAAGCTTGATCATCTGACATTTACAGCAGAGTAAATAACCCAATAATTTCAATCTAATTAAGCAGAGTGTAGGGGTTGAGGTTCATTACACATAACCCAATAATCAAATTGATTCAAGTAGTTTTCCATTCAAGATTCAAATCACTCACTTCACTTTGAATCCTGTCAAGCACACAGAGAGGAGAAAGCGTAAGAAAGCTCCATTCAAGAAGATGAAATTGTCCCCCAACTACATTTATCATTTGAATTTCGGATTAGGAACACATTGGGAGCAAGGCGCAGTTAAATCCTACTTGTTAGTTGTCATTTCCATTAATCATGCTGCTCTTGCGTGCTACACGAGTGGGTCGGCACTGCGCACATGTTCATCATTGGCATGCCGGTATCGTTGAGACCGTGACCATGAGCTCCCATACCATAAAGCATCATAGGCATCATCGGAGACGGCATATAAGTCATCGGGAAAGTAGCCGGTAAATACATGTTTCCATGTGAATCTGCGCTGGGAGAAGAATCATGTGAGTTCTGCGTCATCGGCATTGGAACGAGAGCCTCGTCGGTCGTTGAGGATATCTGTGTCCTCTTCAAGTAAAGACGATACTTCTGTAAATGACTGGCAACGTTCTCGCGAGTTAATCCATCGACATTCATCAATCGCATAATGGCTTTGGGAGCAGCGTCTTTGAGCCCTAAATGAGAAACCACATCAACGAATCGCTTGTGTAATTGCGGAGTCCAAGCGAGCCTCGGCCGCTTCAAGGTTCGAGCCAACGCCGCATCCTCGATCAAATTCTCCGCTCGAGGCGCCAAATTCGCCTCTCCAACAAAATCAACCTTCCTCAAATTTCGCGAATCAGATCCCAACTCATCTGGATCAACCGCCTCGTCCGATTCAACCATCAAAGCGTCTTCACCTCGCGTCCTACCGTCATTAAACTCAAAACTTCTATAACCTTCCAATTGTCCGTCGCGAATATTCAATATCGTCGTCTTCGACGCCGAATAAACATCCGATTTACTCCGTCGCGGTTCCATCAAAATCCTGAACGCCGAAGCGAGTTCCTGCGGAATCAGCGATTGAGAAAGAGGAGTTAATCTATCAGCATCAGGCAGTCCCTCCTCCCACAGAAGTACTCTTTCATCGCCATTCATACAACCACTACCACCATTAGCGTGGTACTCCCTCTTCTTTTGCTCCATAACAAATTCGTCGATTCAGATTCTTCCCCCCCTTTGCACCAAAAATAGGATCAAAATGTCAGTAATCAATCAGCCAACCATATCGCGTAGTAGCTTATTCGATCGATGGATTACATTTTTCAATTGAAGAATGTGTTCGCGAGGCAGGAAAATCAGAGAAAAATTGCGGAAAATTAGGAACACGGTCTCTCACAAGAAAATTCGGCGAGATATTTCTTGATACTCCAGAATTTCGCTTTCATTTCATTATCTAATTCCACTCGTTATCCAGATTTCCGACACGTGGACTTTGGATATCTACGGCCGTCGACGATTCAACGGTTGAGATCATAATGGCAGCTGATCGCGTGCTGCTTTGCATTGGTTGAAGAGCACTAGTCTCGTCACTGTAAATCCACGTACGAGAGGAAGTTGATGGGCCTGTAAGTGGAAATGAGCCCATTGGGCCCAAATTCACCTAGGCCCATCACGGAATTTATTTATTTAAATTTATTTCTGAAATTGAAAATACCGGTTTGTAGTCTCTTTACAACGACGAGGACGAAACGATCTTGTGGATCTGGACAGCGAGGATGCGTCTGCCACTGAAGCAGTGAGAGAAAGCGAAGCGCGGCCATGGCTACCACCACATCCACTTCCCTATCGCTACCGATTTTCCTCTCCTCTTCCAATCCAAACTCCTACAAGCTTCCTTCTCTTCGTTCCTCATCTGCATCCTTTGCTTCATCCTTCAATCTCTCTCGCCGACCGGCAGCTCTCGTTCTCATCCAAAATCGTCCAAGACGAGGCTCAATCCGTAGGCTCCATGCCGTTTCTGAAGAAACCTTGGCCTCGGAATCCGCCGCGCTGGTGGAGAAATCACAGGAGATAGCATCGACTGGTGACGACGGCGTATCCACCATAATCTCTGTTCTTCTGTTTGTCGCTTTCGTCGGTCTATCTGTTCTCACAATCGGGGTAAAATCAGTGCTCGGATTCGAATTTCGAAGTTGAATTTCTGCAGTGAATAATTTTGTTCGAATAGCTGTTGATTTTATCGGATTGGTTAGGGTTTTTACATTGGGAAGTGTATTTCGAGTTTCAGGTAATCTACATTGCTGTGACGGATTTCTTGCAGAAGAGGGAGAAGGAAAAGTTTGAGAAAGAGGAGGCGGCTAACAAGAAGAGCGGAAAGAAGAAGAAGGTGAAGGTTAAGGCCAAAGCTGGACCCAGGGGATTCGGTCAGAAGGTCGAACAAGAAGAGGATTGATGTTATCACCTGCTGTTGATCTTATTCTTGCTTGTTTAATTTTCTTCCATAAATCCAGTTTAATTTGCTGAGTTAGGGCATCCTAAATTTTCTCGTTGGAATTGGAATGATCAATCCAGATTAACTCGATTGAATTTTGTTTGATTTTTGATCATCTACCTCGAACTACGAGTAATTCAACCATTCTAAATTTGGAAAGTTTATGACCTCAGCTAGGATAGGCCTAACGTTTTAACTAATTTTCTACTTAAAAGCTAAAAGCTAATTTAAAGGATAAATGGTAAAATTGCAATTTAATTTCATTTACATCTCTAAGATGATGGATAAGCGGCTAGCATGAATAGAACATGCATCCCTAGCAGCGTTGTGGTCAACGTTGATTTGTGAGCTTGAAAAACGAACATTAAAGTTGTAATCACGTTCAAATTCACCGCTAGAAGATATTGTCAACTTAATCTTTACTTCAATCAGTATCTCACACGGTAAGATATTGTCAACTTAATCTTTACTTCAATCAGTAACTCACACGGTAAGATATTGTCTACTTAGCCTTACTTCAACCAGTGTCAGTGTCTCACAGTAAGATATTGTTTACTTAGCCTTACATCAACAGACACTGTCCCGATACTATTTGTTACCCAAGGCCACTAACTTTGATACTATTTGTAGATGATACATAACAAGCCAAACGGACAATATCTGTTAGTTATAAGCTTTGACTGTTACAAAAAGTATAAGAGCCAAACTGTTACAAAAGGTATAAGAGCCAGACATCGGTGTGTCAGCAAGGACATTTCACATCTTTCTAGCAATATAAGAGCCAGACATCGGTGTGTCAGCAAGGACATTTCACATCTTTCTAGCAATATAAGAGCCAGACATCGGTGTGTCAGCAAGGACATTTCACATCTTTCTAGCAAAAGTCTGACGACGATATCTATCAAGAGTAGGTTTGATCTATTCTACTATATGCCCTCTCATCACATAGACATCCAATTAACCAAGTGGTTGTACGAGAAAATGAGAATCTAAATTCTTCAAAAACAATTGTTTGTTATTTTTACGCAATTTCCCTAAATATTATCTTGATGCGTTTCAAGTCACTTTTTCGTTGAACAAGACCATTTATAACAATGTTTAAAATCTTGAGAACTTAAAAAGAGTATCTCTTTTACAACAACCAAATAGACACTAACCTTAAACTGATAGGCCAAAATTTTAAAAGTTCTAACAATAATAATAACAAATCAATCAGCCTAAACAGTGGATGAGGAGATGAAGGAAACGGAAATAAATGATAGAAGAAAAAGATGAGAAGAAAAGTATGGCCTCAAATAATCTAAACATAAACAGCTCTCTTCTTCACATGGCAACATTTTGTACAGTCACGCTAAAACATTTAGAAAAAAGAAAAACTACCTCAACATTTTTTAAAGTCATTTACATCCCCTTAAGGAAAAGGAAAAAAGAAACTAAGTATAGGCAGGCAGCCATCTTTTATCTCGTCCGCGGCAATCGGGTGCCACGAAATTGATCGATTTCTACGTATAAAGCAGCTTAAAACTACAAATGTACAGGCTTCCTTCCAAAGTACAAACAAACAACTTGCTTTATTGTCAATCAGCTCATACCTGTCTTCACAGAGAGGTTGAGGTTGAGGTTGAGCTACTGCTCTAGATGATAAAACGGAAAAGAGTGGAAAGAGACGATGAAGCTCGCATGTTCGTCGATCGCTTCAGTTAGCTGTACATGGTTTCTTTCCTAGGTCACCAAAGAAGGGTGTGGAGAAGACTGAGCTGCAATTCTCCTTTCTGCAACAGATTGAACAGAAGACTTAGATTTGTGTTGTTAAGTGACAGAAATATTATAGCATTCATTCGAGATTGGCGGAAAACAAATGGTATATACCCCCAGCAGCGACAAGTTTCTCTACACGAGCAACGATGTGCTTCCCGTAAGTATATTTCTTCAGGGCATTGAGATGAACTTTGATTCGAGAGAGAATCAACTCGCGTTGCTGGTCATCACAAGTCTCGAGCACTTTTTGGACGACATAGTTTGCAAATTGATCTTTCATCATTGCCTGAATAAGATTGAATGGCAGATAAGAAGTTAGGAATAGCAATGATAGCGAGAAGTATCAGGTCGTGTGGAGATGTACGATCGGTAGGAATTCGCATACACTTTTGTATCAATTGGACAGGGCCATTTGTATGCATTTGTGAGAAATTAAAGCAGTGCATGGGAGATAATTGTTCACAAACCTGAAGAGGCTCATTTTCATCTGTAGTGCCAAGCATTTCGCTGACAAGTAGCTGGCGCTCCGTTGGACCGCCAAAGGTTAAGCATTTCTCGACGACGTTAGAGGCAAACTTCTGCTGACTCATTTGAACTATTTTACCAGCCAATTCCTTAATAATTGCAGAACGCTCATGAGGTTTTCCATGCTCCAATACATGCTGTTGAGGAGAATCAAATAACAAGAGAAATATCAAATATCTTACTTTTTTTCAGGCTTGTTTTTTGTATGCCCTTGTTTACTTCATTTGTTCAATGGAAGTTCGATTTCTTATATAAAAAAAACCCATAAAAACTCGAGCTCAAACATTAAGAATACTTAGCTTTTTTGCACCTCATGAAGAACTCCAAAAGATGAAATAAAAGAGTTTAAATTGCACAGTATCAATCTATCTAAAACTAAAGTGAATTATAACACTTCGTAAAAGAGTTCGGCTAGAAGCATGAACCTGAACGACATAATTTCCATACTGATCTTGTGCCAACATGCTAACAGATCCTAGAATTTCCTCCATAACTTTACTTTGAGTATTTTCATCCTTGCAGTGCTCAAGAACTCTCTGTTAGAAGGAAAACATGTCAGTATTGATAATAGGTGTAAATTTAGCTCGACTCAGTTTAGGAAATAGAGAATTTAAAGCACCTGTATCACACGACAGCCATACGGGTGAGTTGAAAGTGTCACAACTTGATCAAAAAATGTTGAAACTATAAAATGGATTGCTTCTTCGGGGACACATTCTATACACTTTTGTATAACATGGTTCCCATTCTGATCGCGTACACAGCGCATGATATGTCCATCAAGCTCTTTGACCATTTTAATCTTTTGGTCCAGATCTACTACTTCAATTGCCTGATCAATTGAGTAGACATATATTTATGTGACAACCATGAGTAAATCATGCAATCTCATCACATGATTAGAATGAGTATTACAAACATCAGTTAGTCACATTATGAAAGGGCAATAGTTGAACTTCAACAGGGCTCTATTCATGTATTTTCATTTTGAGGAGAATAATTTAGCTACTCTTCAGTGAATTTTTCACCAAGCTGACGTGTCTCAGACTCTCGTGGAAATACGTGCTTTGCACCACAAAGAATGTACAAGAGAAGGAAGAGGGTTAGGTCCAAACTCAACCTAAGACAAGGGAGACTACTACCAAAAGCATCCACACCAGACTCAAATTTTGTTTCTCACTGCAAGTGTTAAAATACATAGATCGTTATAAAAATGGTAACTTTCATTAGCTGATTTAACCAACCATATTAGAATATTGATAAATCAACTCTTCAAGTCTTTAGTAAGGCATCCAATTGATGTTGCACTGAAGTAGAATGACATTGTTTAAAGAGGATATTGGGTTCAGAACATAATATGTGAGTCCAGCTTAAGATAAGCAGTACCTTCTGGATCACCCGACAACCATACATCTGAAGGCTCAGCGTAAGTATGTGACCAAAAAGCTTATTGGCCAATTCTCTTCTCTGTACTGCAAGTCCATGCTCAAAGAACTGCATACGTACTCCCGTGATAAGCATATAGAAGCAAAGAAAGGCACTAGAACCAGAAAACAATAACAAATATCGTTCAGAGAGGACTAATTACCTTTTGAATCACATAATTGCCAAAGACATCAGTCATCAGAGCAAGAGCTTGAGGCATAATTTCCTGATAAATCATATTTTTCTCATCAACAGTAGCTGTTTCAAGTTTTTGTTGAATGAATCGACTTCCATATTGATCCCCACTGCTCATAAGAAAATAACAATATATAAAAAAATTTAAGGAAGAAAGAAGAAACTACTTTAAGATAGGATTGTGATGATAAACCACATATAATAATAGCTCTAAACCACATATAATAATAGCTCTAAACCACATATAATAATAGCTCTACAAGTAATATAACATACCTAAATTCGAACACATGACCGGCAATTTCAGAAAGTTCAAAACATTTTGTCTTATTGCTCTTGAACTCCTCTAAGAGAGAGGATGAGAAGCTTTCGTTGATATTTCCAACGTCCAGATGCCAAGGACTCATAACACCACCTAAGTTCCTTGTACCAGAAGGATAGCGCAAATGAATGTCATTGTGCCTGACAGGACTACCAGGTCCTACAGGGGAGTTAGAAAGGACAGGATTTGCCATAGGACTTCCAGGATAAGACATGTGAACTCCAAAAGCTGGATTTCCAAAATAACCATGATGATTTGAAACACCAGATTTACCACTGAATGGGATACTATATTGTGATTTTTGAGGTGATAGCAGAGCCCCGTAGGCTTTCTGCAGTTCTAGCTGGTTCATATATGAATTTCCCAGATAATTTCTATCAAGAGAAGGATCATTTAAAGCACTGAGTTGTGCTGAAGCATATTCAGGCGTCCTCAAGTATTGAAGATAAATGGGATCGACAAAGGATGCCTGAAGAGCATTGCCACTCATTTGACCTCCCAATTTACCAAGAATATGTGAATCTGCAGCAGAAGAAGCCAAGTTTGCAGAAGCTAACCCTCCCCCAAGAACCCGTGACTCCAAACCAGAGGCTCCCAAAGCTGAAGCTGAGGCAACATTTTCAAACAATGTTGGTAAATTAGCAGTGCCGAGTTGCCCGGGCATCATAGATGCCAAAGGTGGACTAATCGAGTACCCACTCAGGCCAAAGTTCTGATATGTCAAATTTGTGCCATCTACATGCTGATACTGAGCTCCATTGTTATGAGATGAAGCATGCTGACCACCTTTCAAAAACAAGCTAGCAGGAGGAACAGAAGAGTGTTGCAGTTCAGCATGCCTATCTCTGGAGAAGTTGGGTCCCCCTCCATTGTTGTCATTCAAGTCTGAGAATGAAGACCTGGGTGCACCCCCAGACTCGTTCTTCTTCGCATATGACTGTTGTTTAATATGATTCTGACCTCCTTGCATGCCATATGCATAGCCCTGTTGGTTATTACTATCTTGTTTTATTTGAGATAGCAAATGACCCTCTTCATTTATGGCATCATCTGATGCCAAGTTCATACCAGATAAAGTTGATACAAGTTCTGAAGACTCGTTGATTCCAGATGAGACGCCATTAAATGATTTTGGGCTTGCAATGTTCCTCTTTTCAGTAGTTCCAACTCTCCCGCCTCCAATGGGGGTAAGACAAGGACTAGGCGCCCTTGCAACAAGCTGGGGATCGGGTGTATTGCTTCTTGACAATGAACCACCCACGGCTGCGGCATAAGTGTATGAAGAAGGTGCTCCAGAGCTCTGACCATTTGCACCAGATCGCATAACTTCAGAAACCATCAAGTCATGTCGCAAATTGGCCAACTCATCAGTGGCACCCATTGTCTCAACATTTTCCTCAAAGGCATTGCGGCTGGTCGGACGGGATGGCAGCCCAGTAACAGGAGTTGTGCGACCCATGTCATCCTGCACAAACATTTAGAGATAAACTCATTGGAAAAAAGACACATCCATAATCGAGACTTCTTAAAGTTCAATTATTTTGTAAACAACAACCACACACAACAGTACCATGCAACAAAAATACTAATAATGCCCAAACTCAAGAAACGTGAGTTAAGTGCAGCAGAAAGAACAATAAGCAAGGGAGTTATACAAATTTGGGGAAAAAAAACTTGTTATATATTAGAAAGCCAACATCAATTAAATTTTATATAGCACCACTTCAAAACAAATTCAGTCGGCCAAAATTAGTAGAAACAGTCAATAAGAATAAACTCATCAAACCAATAAAAATCAAACATTCAAAATCAAGTCAACAGAACAGACTAATAACCCGAATATTATCAAGTTACTGATTTTAGAACATAACCTCCAGGCTTCTAGTTTACTGAAATGTTTGTTAATCCATGTAATGGATTTCAATGCTCAAAAGACAAAAATACTGAAGCAGCAATGAAAATAACAGAACTGGTAAAAGGAAGAAATTTACCTGAAAGATTTCAGCTAGACTCTTCTGTTTGGTTCCAAGTCCTAAACCAGGCAAACCAATCAACCCGTCACCACCCCACTCAGTAGCGCCACGCCCTTTATCCAACTCGACCTCAGATGCTTGTTTCCTGGCATTAAACCCAGGGGGCATAGAAAACAAGGATCTGGCGGCACTATCCGTCCCAACATTTGATCGCCTCGTCTCTCCGATGCCTCCCAACCCCAAATTAGCCCCTTTCAATCTCTGCGCAGACTTCCAATCCTCCTTCGAAATCAATGGAGGCGGAAGCCGAGGATTAAGGTTCACATTTGAGTAATAGTATGATGAGTAAGCTGGATCAGACCTAAGCAGCTCCTCTGACACAAAACCATTACCATTATTCGAATCCGATAACTCCGCAAAGGCATTAGCAGAACCAGCAACCCCACCAAACAGACCACCCACCGCACTCAAAGAACCTTCAACAGTCGGTGGAGCTGATCCACTTCTATACAAATTCAGCTCCCGCTCTCGATCATCGGTCTCTTGCCGACGCTGTTCACGAAGCAATAACCCTATCTCCGTCTCTAATTCATCACCAAACGATCCATCGTTGCCACCAAACATCGGTCTTACCCTTCTAACCCTATCTGATCACTGCCTCACAGCAACAACAGAAAGCTACGCCTAAAAAAAAAAATCCTACAACAAGAAACCACTATTTACAGCTCAAAAGGAGTCATTCTAAACTGATCAAAACCAAAATTTCCATCCGTTCCACCAATTCCCTATCCCGAACCTTTACAACCTAACCACCAATTCCAATCCCCAAAAAAGTGTCCTAAAAATCATTTAGTTCCCACTACACCCTAAATTCTACCAAGACAGAGAATTCCCCGACATAATTTCCATGTAATAACATCAACAGTAGCAAATATATCGAATTACAAATGGCAAGAAGAGCGATGGGAAGAACAGGTAGACAAAATCAAAGTGAAAGAAAGAAACAACAAAAATAGGTTCCCGGTGGTGAAATGAGATCAAGAAAAGGATTTGAGATATAGAGAAGAAGGCGGGACAGCTGAGATCAGTCCGGCGGCTATTGCTCCAAACGAGAACCCTTTTAGGGTTTTATTACATTTCAAGTTGAGATTAAATACAGTGAAGGTAAAAATCTTTATATATATATATATATATATATATTATTTTGTCTGTATTTTAGTCCAAATATCTGAAAATAAAAATAAATTTAAATTTAGAAGATTGACCAAGCCCTACCTAATTTATAAAAAATAAAAACATTAAAATTACAAAATTAAGAGAAATTTAAAAAAAATTAAAATAAAAGCTTGTGTTTCAGACTCAGAATCTCCCAATGCCACGTCAGTTCCATTCCATTATATACTTCTTACCATACACTTAAAAACATAATTTTTTAATTAATTTAATTCTAGTTTGATTTTCTGACGTGGCATGGCTGAATTTTATGGGTTTAAATTCTAATTATCTAGTTATTATTTTCATTTCAATCTTTTTTTAAATTAGAGATAATTTACTTTTTTATAAAAAATTTATAATTCTAAAAGAATTAGCTATAATTAGAAATAATATTTACATGAAAAGATTAATATTGAATTTAAATAAACAGTAATGTATTTTTTCCATAAAGTTTCCATTTCAATTCCATAAATTCGACCTTTACAAAAATAACAAAATGTGACAATTAATTTGCAAAAAATAATAAAGATTAGACATTTTGTTTTTTTGTTTTTTTGTTTTTTTTTTTAATTTAAAAGCAAGAAGCTTATAATCTTCTAGAAGCATTGGATTTTTTGTTACCATTTGTTGCATATATTTTGGAATATATAGAAGGTTTTTCTCTTATTGAACTAATTAATAAGATAAGGCTAAAATTGGAATATGCAAAGTATGGTAAAAGTAAACACGGTAACATGTAAAAATAGGCTAAAGAATGGGATTTTGAGGAATAAGTAAATTTGGGAAGTAAATAGATAAGCAAATATGGTAATGAATTAGCCATTTATTTATTTATTATTATTTTTTTTTTTACTGCGTGGTTCAAACGAAAATAATTTGACTATAGTTAACATCTACGTTTAAAAATTTAAAATTTTAGAACGATGGGTAAACATATTTTGTTAATTAATTTATGTTAAATTAATAAAAAGTTGTACTCTGCCTAAATGTTTCAATAATTTCTTTATTATACAAAAAATATTCCATTAAAGAAAAAATGTGTAATATATAAAAAGAAAAACTCTATTAATTTTGCAATTAATAAACTAAAAACATATAATTTAAAAAATAACTGTGGTAATATAAATTTTGATTCGCTGTAAAAATATTACAGCACGTCATTTGAAACCTACGTGAAAATGACAGTAGTCAAATGACTAAATCTAGTAGAATAATTACCAAAGGTTGGGTGATCAGCAAATAAAACTCACCTCATGTAAACGGTGATAAAATATTGGTACAAAAATTTTAATTTTAAAACTAAATTAACAAAAATGGAAGTATACTCATAAACTTTTAAAAAAATTAATATATATATTCTTAAATTTTAAAAAATTTCAAACTTACTGTTACCATTAGTTTTGGATGAAAACTATTAATAGATCGTTCAAAAAAATATTTTATATTGTTTTAACTTTAAAAAGTGCTTTTAAAATTCCGCGTTCAAAAGTTTTACCAATACTCCTAAACATTTTTGTAGAGCATTAAAACACTTTTAAACGTCTTTTTTAAATTGTAAGAACATTTTTAATATATATAATTGAGAAATATTAATGATTTTTTTAAATTTATTAATAATTTTAATATTTTTGTTATAAAAAATATAAAAATTAGAGATATTTTTATTAATTTAGTCTATTAAAAGAATGTCTTACTTTAAATCTACCGTAATTTTTATAGAAATTAGAGATATTAATGGTTTGGTAGATTTTGTTAAATTTACCGTAATTACTTTAAACGTTATTTATCATATCTTAATTCAATATATATATTTTTTAATTACAATCCTATTATTTCACACGTATATAAATTTGTGTCTAATTATTTATAAACCTCGAATTTTAATTTAGTCTAATATATTAGTCGCTATTTATTTATTTGGCTATTTAAATTCGGATCCAATTTCAATAAAATCGGGTTTTCATTTCAATCTAAAAAAACAGTGAAATATATATTAAAGAACATCTCCTAAATTTCAAATACAATTGTACGGTACAGAATAACCCGACCCATAAAACAAAGCCCACCAAATGACCCGTAATCCATTAACAATCCAACATGAAGCCCAATAAGACTCTGGCCCAATAACAGCCTCTTAATTAATTCAGATTAAATGGGCTTGAATTACGCTTTCATAGGCCCACCCATTCTCAAAGCGAGAAGCGAGAAGCGAAACGTTGGATAAGGCCCATTTTGGGTATGTTGTGGATCCTCACTGAGTTCACCGCCGTATGCGGTGGATATCCAGGACGGCCGCCTCTCCGTCATGACCGTTGAAAGAGAGACAAAAATTAGTGGGCTACCAAAAAAAAACAAATAATTTTCCCCAACTAATCTTATTCTAAAATTAAACCCATTTAATAAATACAAAATGCCACGTAATCCTAATGTAAATCATAGATTATGTCATCCTATGGTATTATTTTGTAGATTAATTAATTTAAACTAAGATTAGCAGTACCATTTAATTTAATTAGACCAACACGTTGGGCGAGAAATTCATCACCAACTAAATTAAATTATTCTCCAATTTCCTCCATGTCGTTATCCTTGGCTTCTGCGGTCGCTCTCAAACGACGTGTCGTTTTTTTTTTTTTTTAAATTTAAAAAAACAAAGAAAACTCGTTCAATTCAAAGTCGCCTCGTTGTAGAATCTTCTTAGTTCCCACGTGGCACAAGCGACTGTTTCAAAATTCAAACTCGGCGTCTTGTGGTGATGGGCCCGAACCGACCCGGCCCAAAACGGCCGTCCTTTTAGTCAACGTCTCGAATTCGGTGGGTCCCACTTCGGTTTCACGCGCCTCGGACCCACTCGCGCTCCCCTAATTTACCAAAAGAGAACTTTTTTTGTTGTTTTTCCTTTTAAACTTTATCCGTATTGGAGGGAAGATGGGTCCCACTCATCACTAAATGTTGGCCAATAATATAACGCCACGTAGCGTTTCCAGTTCATTTGCGTGAGAGCGCGTTGTCACGCTCGTGTGGAGCCGCGTGCCTTGTTTGTACTCAAAGTTGATGCGTCTTAAAGCTCCCGACTTCTCCTTCCTCATTTCGACGAACGCGAGTTTGTACACTTTTTTTCTTGTTTCAGTCAGATCTGAGGCGATGGCTTCCGGTACGGCGTCGTATTGGTGTTACCGGTGCAATCGATTCGTTCGTGCTTGGGTTCAAGACACCATATCTTGTCCTTACTGTGACGGTGGATTTGTTGAAGCAATCGAAACCGCGTCTTCTCTCCCGGCGGCGAATCTCCACCGTCGATTCTCGCCGTCTGCGATTCACACTTTGGATCAAGATCCGTTTCAGTCTCCTCGCTTGAGCACCCGGCGAAGTCGCCGTAGACTTGGGGATCGGTCGACTTTTAACCCTGTTGTTGTTCTTCGTGGTTCTGCCGACGGTGGCGATGAGGGCGGCGGTGGTGGGGAGAATAATAGCTTCGATATTTACTATGACGATGGTGCTGGGTCTGGTCTTCGGCCGGTTCCGGCGACGATGTCGGAGTTTCTGATGGGGACTGGATTTGATCGGTTGTTGGAGCAGTTGGCTCAACTGGAGATCAACGGGTTTGGCAGATCTGAAAATCCGCCGGCGTCGAAAGCAGCGGTGGAATCAATGCCGACGATTGAGATTTTGGAAAGTCACGTGGATTCAGATTCGCACTGTGCGGTTTGTAAAGAGGCGTTTGAAATAGGAACCGAAGCCCGAGAAATGCCCTGTAAGCACATATATCACTCCGATTGCATAATCCCTTGGCTTTCGATGAGAAATTCCTGTCCAGTCTGCCGACACGAACTGCCATCGGAACGCGTATCTCCAGCCGGCGGGGTTTCAGATCGCGTGGTCGACGAAGAGACCGTAGGGTTAACAATCTGGAGACTCCCTGGCGGGGGATTCGCCGTTGGCCGATTCACCGGCGGTAGACTGACCGGCGAGAGAGATCCACCAGCGGTCTACACCGAAATGGACGGTGGATTCAATGCCAACGGAGCTCCGAGAAGGGTCTCGTGGGCTTCGAGAAGAAGCAGGGGAAGGGAAAACCGAGGAATCGGACGAACATTCCGTAACATCTTTTCTTTTTTCGGAAGATTAAGGTCTTCGAATTCATCTTCTTCTTTGGCTTCGAATGAAACTGAATCTGTTAGTAGAAGCCATAGCCGTTCGAGCTCTTCAGTCTTCAGCAGATACTTGCGAAGGCCAAACAGAACTTGGCTGGAGAATCATACTGAAAATGGCCGATGGTGATTCTTCCCACTTCCATAAATACAATTACTCTGCTATGCATTATTCTTTTTGATCTGTTCATTACATTTATTGAACAATATCTTTAGAAATCAAACTAGATTATGTATATACAGTTCTTGATTTGGCAAACCAACGAATGCCTTCTGTTCTGTTTCTGAAACTTGATCATCTTGCTCCCATTAGCTCCACCTTCACTCCAATATCAATTTCAAACTCCTTTTAGAACTTGCATAACTTTGTTCTTTGAATTCTACCCAGAACCAACAAGCTTCTTCTTAGTTTCTCAGTGATATAGAGGTACTAGATCATCCTGCAGCTTCACTGCTATTTCAATTTGAAGTCACTCTAGAGACAATTCCATATTCTTGGTTCAGGATTCCTCCCAGAAACAATATACTTCTTTATAGTTTCAGAGTGGTCTAATGGTACTACTTATTGCTACTCCAATTCAATGTCAATTTGAAGCCACTATAGGTTTCAGATTCTATTCAAAAGCTACGAAATTCTTCATTTGTATCGTTCTTGGATTCATCCGAAAAGGTTCGTGCTAGTTGTGAGAACTTTTGCTCACAATGATATGATATGATATTGTTCGGACTTATTTTGTGGGTTCTTACTCTGCTAAACAAACTACAGGTTATGGAGATGTTTTTATGTATACCCTACGAATTTATGAGATGAAACATTGTTTGAAGAGGAGAACGAAACATTCTTTATAAGAGTGAAAACTTCTCCCTAGAAGACACGTTTTAAAACCGCGAGGCTGGCAGCGATACGAAACGGGCCAAAGTGGACAAATATTTGTTAGCGGGTGTGTTTGGGCTGATACAAATGGTATTGGAGCTAGACATCGGGTTGTGTGCCAGCAAGGACGCTAAGAAGGGGGTGAATTGTGAGATCCCACATTGGTTGTAGAGGGAAACGAAACATTCTTTATAAGGGTGTGGATACCTCTCCCTTGTAGACACGTTTTAAAACTGTGAAACTAACGGTTACACTTAGGATCCCTTTTTAACATTTATCCGAATGGGTTACACAGACTGAAACTTTCCCTGATTCTGAGCTGCTTGTGAGTTGAGAGAAGAAGATTGAACTAATTGTTATGGCAGATTTTGTGGAATGTTGGTGCTGAAATGGGGAATGGTTCTTGAAGCTTGAACCAAATATGATTTGATAATATAGGGGGAAGGGGGATGGAGGTGTTATGGAGCTGGCTGGCAAGCAATAATTGAAGAGATGGGAGAAATTTAGCATGTGGAATTATGAGAGAGGTGGGCAACTGTGTTTTGTTTACTGAACCAAAAGGCAAGGATTGTTTTGGAGATCTTCCCCACCCATTATCTCCATACCCCATGGGATTTTGGCTGTTTTTTTGTTCTTCTTGCTTTGAATATGGCAGATCTTTACATGCTGTTGCTCTGCTGCAATTTGGAATATTCTGATAAGCTCCAGTCTGGTATGAAACCTACATTTACTTTCTCTTTCACAATTTTTCTTCTTTCTTTTTAGGTTAATACACACATGCCGAATAATCTCGTTCGTTCTCCCTCACGTGTGAACGTGAACGTGAACTTGAACGAGAAAAATGACCTTATAGTAGTTTGAACTTTGAACTTGAGAAGTGGTCACAATCCTTGCTTCGAACATAAGTTTGACACTTGGGAATCCCTTTTTTTCTTCTCCATTGGGTTGGTGTTTCCCTGTACCCGAAGTACCTGAGCGAGAGTGGCTACAATCCTTGCTTCACTTCCCTCGGATTTTGTTGTTCTTTTCTTTTCCTCTGTTCACAAGATAGCTTTTAATCTACGTTCTGACTGATTTAGCCACTTTCGAATCTGTTGTATTCGGCTGGTATTCAGTTTGAGTCACTTTTGACCATCTCTTCAAGACTAACTACTTCTTTGTTCGACTTTTGAAGATTCTATTAACATGATTAAGTTAAGAGCATGACTTTGATATATAATGTTATAGAAACTAAACTCTTCACAATGGTATGATATTGTCCACTTCATACATAAGCTCTCATGTCTCCAAAATGTCTCGTAATCATTAAGCACTTCCTATCGCTATGAAAGGGTATTAGATAGATCTGTTTTTTCAGGTGTAAAACTTGAGAGCCACAGAGTAAATAAGCCTTTTGGTTTGGTAGCATTCAATTTTGAATCAATGGCAATTGAACCTTGTTGTTCTTGGCTTTCAAGCCTAGAGTTTGGTTGAATGTCCTTTTCTGTTTATTGGGCTAAACTTGAGATCCTTCAAGGCAGTGTTTGGTTGGCCGGGATTGATTTTAATTCACCAACCGAACGTGAATTGAAACGTCCCACGGTGGAAAAGCATTAATACGCTCAATTTGAAGATTCTATTGACGAGGCTAAGCTTGGAGCACGGCTTTGTACCATGTTAGAAACCACAAACCTCTACAATGGTATGATATTGTCCATCTTGAACATAAACTCTCGGTCTTTCCCCAAAATGCCTCATACTAATGGAGATAGTGTTCCTTCCTTTAAAAACCGACGATCTTCCCCTTAATTAACCAATGTGGGACTCCTTCCAACAATCCTCAACATGTTACGCTTCTTTACTCTCTAACTTAAGTATTGTAGTGTGTAACAAACACAATATCCGTGTACAAGTTTTCTCAGGAAGAGGAGAACGAAATATTCCTTACAAAAATGTAAAAACTTTTCTCTAGTAGACGCGTTTTAAAACTTGGAGAAGAAACCTAGAAGGAAAAGCACAAGGAGAACAATATATATTAACCGTGGATTTGGATCATTACAAATGCTATTAGAGCCAGACATTGGACAGTATGTCAACGTCTTCGCTGAGCCCTTATAGGGATGTGGTGGAAAGAGTCAGACACCGAGAGGTGTGTTAGTGAGGATGCTGAGCCCTTATAAGGGTGGAAAGAGCCATACACCGAGCTGTGTGCCAAGAAAGACACTGAACGCTTATAAGGATGTAAAAACCTCTCAAACAGACACGTTATTAACGATTCTTACGTGTCAAGCCCACAAATGAGGGAGATTTCGGGTGGATTAGAGATTTAACAACTTAGGGTTAATTTATAAATCATTAAAATGTAAAAAAGTCGCCTGTGATTAGCCAAGAACTTCAGTCTGAAAAATGGCCCAAATGCTTCTGATTTCTATACAATCTATGGACATGGAGGGCCATTTTTGTAGCTGTGCTCCACCAACATCTCATCTCCTTTTCTCTCCTTGATGGTTTTACTAAACAGACGCACCATCGAATGAACGACGTCGGTCGGAGCCACAAAGTTGACAACCAAAACGTCGTTGGTAACTTCGATCCCGGGAAAGATCTTGCAAAATTACTGTTCTTTGCGGTCATTTTTCGTGCTGTACAAACTAAAATATAGACATGATTTTGAAAGTCTATGAACTCGTTAAGAAATCTCGTAAATTACGAACTAAATATCTAACAAATCTTATGGGAATTGAACCCGTGTGTTCGACATGAAAAGACGATGTCCTAACCTCTGGAGAAAAGGGACTCTCGAATCATTGTAACAAACCCTCTCTTTACTCTGTGGATAGGTTGCATCCCCTTATCCTCTTTCGAGAGAAAAAAATAAGAAATGACCTTCCTTCCTTTGTTTTTTCCGTTGGAATTCATTCCTCACCGTAAGTGGTAACATGTATAGAGGCTGACTATCCCGAATTTTTGGCTTCAACTGGGATACTTTGCACTTAAAGGCTGATATCATTCTAGAGTCGTATTTAGATTCCCTTACTCGTGAGTGATTCGTCTCCTTGATTTCACTATCTTTTTCTCGCTTCCGTTTGCTGAATCTGACATTTGTCTCTCACATACAAGCGCTATGTCTCGAATACAAAAAAGACGAAAAGGGTAAGGTGAGGGATAAGGGATGAAGCTCCTAAATTGAAGGCTTCACTAGCTCGCTCTTACGCTTGTTTACACGAGAGAAAGCTTGCCCGAGAAAACATGGTGGCAATACCATTGGCAAGGGCACCAACGCATGTAGAGAAAGATGGTTTATACATTGCGTTATAGAATATGGATCGTCCCAAAAGAAAAACATTTATCGACCTCCAAAAATACACATTTTCGGATTTTCTTTTCTCCATTCAACTATTCAAATTCGGTAGCCACATTAAAATGACATGCTACAACTTCGATACCCTAACATTTATCTGCCTCTAATAAATACGTATTTTCAGGTTTTTTTTCTCTACGTTCAACTATCATCAGCGACACTAGAGTGACATACTACAACCTCGACACTCCAAAATTTATCACCCTGGCCTCTAACAAATACATGTCTTCAGGTTTTTTTTCTACACTCAACTATTCAAAACCATTAGCCACATTACAACATGTTACAACCTCGATACTCTAACATTCATCATCTTGCCCTCTAATAAATACGCATTCAACTATTCAAAAATATTAGCCACATCAAAGCGACATGCTACAACCTCAATACTCCAACATTTCTCGACCTCTAATAAAACGGGTTTTCGGGTTTTCTTTTCTACATTCAATGATTCAAACCCGTCAGCCACATTAGAACAACGTGCACGAAGAATAATCAGTCGAGTAGGGTTATTGGGGTGTGTAATTTTGTAGGAAAAAAGGGGAGAAGAGAAAAAGTGAATCCACCAATTGAAAGAGAATCTATAGACATATTGGGTTTCACATCCCCACTAAAATGTACATTTTTGGCACCTTCCTATAAAAAAAAAACCAGATGGGAAACCAAGTAAATAGATGAACAATAGAACACCATGGCTAATTAAATTTTTAAATAACTATTCTCTCTATTATTACAGGGTATTAAGCAAAATTTGGAGCTAGATCGACATTAACCCACAAATCTAATTACATTTTTGAATCGAACAAAAAAAAAAAAAAAGGAACAAAATCCAAGATCTTTGGAGACTAAAAATGCTTACTTTGTTCATGGATCGCCATGTTTATGCCAACAGACAAGCATTGCGACACATCGTCGCATGATGTAAAATCTGGCCTTTTGTTCTTTAGCCAAGCTGCTGCATTTGTGGCCAATGGAGGGGTTTTTCTGGGAGGAGCTGCGGCGGAGATCGAAGGGGGACTTGGCGGAGGAGGAGGCGGCGGCGGCGGCGGCGGCGGAGGGAGTGTGCTTATGGGATAAGCTTCTTAGCAATGGCAGCTTGGAGGAAGAGGTTCTGGAGAAGAAGGACTTAGAAGAAGAAGAAGAAGATTCCTTTCTGGAAAGCTTCCATTTTTCTTCCATTAATGGCGGAAAATCAAATGGTGGGGTGGTTTTGGTTTCTCAAAATTATACCTCCAAAAATAAATAAATAAATAAATAAATAATTTGTAGATTTATTTGTCTCAAAAATGGAGATCCACTGCTTCTATGGGTGTAGTGAAGAGTGTGAGGTTGGTAGGGTTCAAACAATTGGACCTCATTCTCATATATATATTTTTATCTTTTAATCTTTCAAAGGAAGGTTAAACTCGTAATTCACTAATACAAAACACCTAAAATTGGTTTCGTTTCAACACTAAGGATTAAATTACATGAATTACTTTAAACAAAATGACGAAATTACCCCTAATAAAATAGTAAAGTTTTAAAATAAATGAATACAATAATTTGGAAGGGGATTTTGTAAAAGATAAATATAATTGTTATGAAAAAATAAAAATAAAAATTATAAAAGTGTTTATTTTATTTTTTATATTTTGTAATTAATAATTATTTATTTTAAAATTGGAATAATATGTGGGGGAATGGGTAATATTATAATTAAAAGAAAATTAATATTTAAAAGCTTGGAGTGATCGACGTGGGTGTACGATTCTGTATTTAACACACATAAACACAAAATTCACTCACTCTGAGGTAACTGCTCATTCCGCACCGCTGCCCTTCTCTTCTCTTCTTCTCGGAATCTGTGTCCACCTACTTCATTTTCCCTAATTTTTTTTTTTTACCTAATTTACCCTTTTATTTTATTTTATTTATATATAAATTGTGAAAATTGTAAAATAGTAATATTCGATCGAGAAGTGCATGGGCCGTGTTGTTGAGAATCTCGCTTAAGGTTTGATGGAGCTACAAAATTGGATGAAAAAAGTGTAATGATCGTGTCAAAATCATAAAATTGGAGCTTACTAGGGTATTACACTACATATTGGGACATATTGGTTTGGTATAATGCTAATCGGGAACTCTCGAAATGCCATTTTGACCTAACAAAGGGTTCAATCACATTCCGTCAAAGTTCCAGATTGATGTAGAAGCATATGGGTCGTGTTGTTGAGAATCTCACTATGAGATCCCACATCGATTGGAGAGAGGAACGAGTGTCATCAAGGACGCTGGGACTCAAAGGGGGGTGAATTGTGAGATCTCATATAGGTTGGAGAGGGGAACGAAACAGTCTGTATACGGGTGTGAAAACCTCTCCCTAACAGACCCGTTTTAAAAACCTTGAGGAAAAATTCCAAAGGTAAAACCCAAAAAGGACAATATCTACTCGCGGTGGGCTTAAACTGTTACACTTACCTAAGATTCGACGAAAGTACAAAATCGATCGAAAAAGTATAATGATCGTGTCAAAATCATAAAATTGGAGCTTATCAGAGTATTATAATAATAATAATAATAACAATAACAACAATAGAGAATCTCAAGCACATGCAGCTACAGGAATTTAATTAACGGTAATATAAGAGAGTTAGAAATTAAATCCAAAGTATAGTTAGAATATAATAATTAAGGCATTAATGTATGATTATTAACTATATAAGCATGTGACCCAATTTGATCTCTGTTATATGCTGCTTCATAATCCGCATTTAATTATGTTATCAAATATTCCCCCACCTAATTAATCCTTGGATATAATCATCATTAGATACTAATACAAATAATTAACATAAAATTAAATAAGAACGTATATATATATATATATATTTTTTAATTTTCAAAATATATATTATAAAAAAAAAACTTTAATTATACAGATTTTATGCAATAGGAAAGAAAATAGTGAAATAAATTAAAAGTTTGACTGGTCAAAAGCTATATGGTGAGGTAGAAATGTTGGAGCATTGAATAGTAATAATAATGTGTCACGCACAGCATATTTTAAAAAGTATAGGCACCAGAAATAATTAATTTCTCCATCATATTATTTAATGATTTTTGTTTCTAGCTGTCATTGGAGGAGGAGGAGGAGGAGGACGACGTCGTTTCGATTTGAAATGATTTAAAATCATGAAATTACTGCTGGATTAATGTTTTATTGAAATTAAGTGAAAATGGAGAGGGAATTTGTTGATAATGAAGAATATTAATGATTAATTAAGCTGCAATTATAAGAAGGTGGGGGAGCCGTACGAGGATTTGATTGGTCAAAAAACAAGAAGCACATGGCATGTTTTTAAGCTGGTGTACGAATTCACCTTTCCCCTAGGGCTTTTTTTTCTTTCTTTTTAATTTTGGGGTACCCTAGAATAGGAGCGTTTTGGGTGTCCCACTTGTTATCATGTGGAGGACACGAGTGTTACGGTCATGCTTGTTTAAGACGTGTTGTTTATGACTTTCATGATATATAGTTTTGACGTTTTGGCAAAATCTACGTTTGTTAGATCTGAAATGCCTTAGAATATACTATAGGGAGATGCGACTAGTCGTTAACTCTTCTTACACGAAGTTATATGCTATCTAAGTTGTTGTGTTGTCTTTTTCGCTTATAGTCTATAACATTTTAAACTCTCTTTTTAAAATCTCTCTATCTCGTTTTCTAAAACTTTCTAAGCATGGGTATACGTCGTTTGGCCGAATGCCAACACTATTTTGAGTTGGCTGACTCACTCAGTGGTAAGAGTGAGTAAGTGTCGTATAATCGCTTATAAACATTCGGCGCGGTATGAATTTACCTTTCCCGATAAATTTTGCAAGCTTGAACTCATGTGAGGCTTTCAGAGCCTTTAGGGGTGTCCCTGTCCCACATGCTATCATGTGGAGGGCACAAGCATATGGGTCAGAAGACCAAGTCCTCAAATTTAGGGTTATTTAATGACACCATCAACTTCTCCATCCATTTAGACCATTGTTTCATAGATAAGGTTAATGATTTAATGATGTTCATCCAAACCTTGGAAAATCTTTTATTTAATATATGTTTTCTTTTATAATTTAAGGATGATGATTTACTAATTAAGAAATAAAATAAATCTAGGTTGATTCGACAATATTCGATAGGAAACAACTTAGAATGTTGTGTGTTATTCTCCGTTCGAGATCCCCTGTTCATGTATATATTTAATTTTATGAAGTAAAGTCGATTTTGCAATTGACGTATCGCTCATTTTTTACCTCTAAAAACCCACGAACATATTCTTATTAGACAACGTCAACCCACAATAGGAACTAATCATGTCTATCATTTCTATGACACGAACATAAATTACCGAACCATATTATCCCTGAACATATCAATTACAAATGGTCTAACATAATAAATATTAAGTTATTAACACGGCTTATTATGACCTGAAAGATATATCAAAACATAAACTTTTACACGCACGACAAGAGTCGGTACATCAAATTCTCCATTAAGAGTTGGACATTAACGTAGAACCATAATAAGAAGTCCTCGATATGACCCAAAACACGAGAGAAAATCATCGTTATTTTACCTAATTAGGGTTAGGCTTAGTTTGTGATGGGCTAATTAATTAGAGCATATAAGTAGAAATATAAGTACATATGTATAATGTCCTAATAATGCATTGTTTGAATATCACATAGAGCTACAAATAACCTATGCGCACCTGATTGACTTGTCTCGCTCACAAAAGCCTTTATTGTTGCCTCTTTTGTTCGTATTGGTGCACCTCTTTCAATTTCAACCACAAAAATCAATAGGGAGGCAAATTTAAGTGGTAGAATAATTTTCCCTCTAATAAAGCAAAATCAAATAAGTTAGAAGCATAAAAGCTACAAATCTATATTGATTTGCCCTAAACTCGAATTACATCTCGAGATTACACGTGAGATTCCACGTCGTGGAGGAGAACGGAATATTCTTTATAAGAGTGTGGTAACCTCTCCCTAGTAGACGCGTTTTAAAAACCTTGAGGGGGAAGTCTGTTAGAAAAAACTCAAAAAGGACAATATATGCTAACAGTATGTTTGAGCTGTCACAAATAGTATCAAAGATAGATATCGGGAGATGTGCCAACGAGGAGGCTGAGCCCCATAGGGGGTGGACACGAGGTGGTGTGCTAGCAAAGACACTAGGCCCTGAAAGGGGGTGGATTGAGGGGTCTCACATTAATTGGAGAAAGGAACGGGTGTCAGCGGGTCTCACATTAAATGGATTGTGAGATCCTTTATAAGGGTGTGAAAATCTCTCTAATAGACACATTTTAAAAGCTTTAAAGGGAAGGTCGAGAGAGAAAGCCCAAAGTGTGGAAACCTCTCCGTAGCAAACACGAAAGGGAAAGCCCAAAAATAAAAACCTCTTCCTCGAAACCTCTCCTAGCAGATACGAAAGGAAAAATCCAAAAATATTATTTACAAGGGTGTAGAAACAGACACGTTTTAAAAACCTTGAAGGAAAACTCGAAAGAAAAAAACCAAAGAAGACCATATGAGCTGTGTTACATTACAGAAAGCCCTAAACTGATACCACAATCTTAACCCTAAACCGTTGAGACAAAAACTAATAACTTCCAAATCCGAAGATGAAAACGAGCATATTAAAGAAATCATTGCAATATCTCGACAATACCCGATACTTTCGAGACGAGTCCAAAGTTTCCTCGTCCAACATAAGACATGCGTGCAAGGGATCTTACAACATAATCAATGTCTCAACGTGGTGTTCTTCTTCTCTATGTTATTAATACTGTCGAGACGCTGTGTTTTCAACTCAGCTGGCTTCTGCCACTGTTGATGTCCACAAAATCTAGCAAAAACAATGAAATTCATTGAAAAAACAATCAAAATTTTAAATTTTTGGAAGTATTTGAAGCACATATTCGAAGGCGGAAGGATAGTAAATTAGGGTGGAAAAAAGCAGTAGACAGTAAAACATAGTACAAAACGAGTGGTCCATTCAATATGTTTGTCCAAAAATAGTCGAAAAACAAAGATAATTACAAATGAAAATCTAAAAGCTACCCAGATTCAGAAATGGCCTCAAAATCTGAACCCAAATTCTGGATTTCATTTATAAGCCATGTAATTGACGATGCAGCATCATCAAGATTCCCAAAGGAGAAGCCTTTGTTCTTCTTTCTTCAATGAAGAGAGAAATTTAAAGATGGGAAGCCTTGTGAATCTTGATGGTGCTGCGCCAACAAATAATGGCTGCTATCGATCGGACCTCCATGGCTATCGGTTCGGCTTTCGTGCGAAGAAATCGAGTTCGTAGATGATGAAGAAGAAGAAGAAGAAGAAGATTTATGAAGAACCCTAGAGGAATATAGAGTCTCGTGAAGAACAGCATCAACAAAACGGTAAAGGTTTTGAGGGAGAAAAGAAAGGAAGGGTTGTTTGTGTCCATAAAAAGTGAACTTAACCCATGTCCATAAATCATTACTCACCCAACTTCCACCTTTGTATAAAAACCCCTTTTAAATATGTTTATAGTTGATTAGGGCTTCGGTTCATCGATGGTTGGGAAGGTATCACGAATGTTTATAAGGAATGCTTCGTTTTCTTCTCTAACTAATGTGAGATCTCACAATCCACCCTTTGGAGGACCCAACGTCCTCGCTCGCATAACACCCAGTGTCTGACTTATAAGGAATGTTTTGTTCCCTTTCTCAACCAACGTGAGATCTCACAATCTACCCCTTGGGGAACTCAGTGTCTGACTCTGATATCATTTGTAACAACCCAAGCTTACCACTAACGGATATTGTTCTTTTTGAGCTTTCCCTTATCTTATCACTGGTCGATATTGTTCTTTTTGAGATTCCCCTTATGAGTTTTCCCTTAGATTTTAAAACGCGTATACTAGGGAGAGGTTTCCACGTCTTATAAGAAATGTTTCGTTTCCCTCACCAACGAATGTGGGATCTCACAATCCACCCTCCTTGGAAGACCAAACGTTCTCGTTGACACACCGTCCCGTGTCTGACTCTGCCTTATAACAAATGTTTCGTTTCCCTCGCCAACGAATGTGGGATCTCACAATCTACCCTCCTTGGAGAACCAAACGTTCTCGTTGGCACACCGTCCCGTGTTTGACTCTAATACCAGTAATGGCCTAAGTCTATCACTAACAGGTATTTTTCTCTTTGAGCTTTCACTTCTGAGTTTCTCCTTAAGATTTTAAAACTGTATAGTGAAAGGTTTCCACGCACTTATAAGTAATGCTTTGTTTCCCTCTCCAACCAACGTGGGATCTCACGATCCACCCTCCTCGGGGGATCCAACGTTCTCGTTAGCAAACCGCCTCATGTCTAACTCTAATACCATTTGCAATCGCTAGTCCACTATTAGCAGATATTGTTTTTTTTGAATTTTTTCCTTCTAAGCTTCCGTGTCGGAGAGATTTCCACCATCTTATTATAAGGAATGTTTCGTTCTTCTCTCAACCATTATGGAATCTCACATTAACTTGATCGATTCACCATAAAAGTGATGTCGATATCACTTTCTACGACATTAAAATTTTTAAAGAATCTTATTTTCGACCCAAGTCATTTTCAAATAACTCGGATCGAGTTAAATGAGATTCCTAACCTTAAATATGGAGTCCAACCGAAGTAAAAAAAGTGGGTTGAGAATAAATATAATATTATTAAACAAAAATAATAAACTTTAAATACATTATATTACATCAAAATTTATGATAGAATCTAAAAATGAATTAAATTAATTTATTAGCTCTTGATAGTGAAATAATTAAAAAAAAAAACAGTATAATTATTTATGGTTGAGCAATCACATCTTAATTAATTAAAAGTAATATTTTAAAATGTGTTGATTATCCAAAATTGGGCACAGATAAAATGGGTGGTAGTCGGCAGAGAAAGATAATACAATTAATGGAACCAATAAATGGATATTTTTAGTTGGTTGGTGATGCTGATAATTAACAGGAAAATTGACACCAATAAAATAAAATAAAATAAGATAAAAAAAGTGCTTTAGGGGTTAATCAAATATGGTAATCATGATTAAGCAGGTACTAATCGGCAGCTAATCTTGTGGTCTAAATCTAAAGACACGTCTGTTAAAGTCACCTTTCCATTCATATTTTGCATTATTGAATTCCCAATCTTATAAAATTTCATCCCAATTTTTTATTTTTTATTATTCTTATCCACATTATTTAAATCATTTTGTGAATTAATTAGAGGAATAAAATTAATTAAGTTTTATATTAATTAATACATATGTTTGACTATATAAATGACGTCATATCTACATTATTTGAGTTTAAATTAAATAAAAAACTATATGCTTACGTGGAATTTTTATTTTGAACTCTGGGCGATCAAATTTCGTGGTCCGATGGGACAAAAGCCCAGAAAAAGATGGAAACGGTTTAATATGGGCCAAGTAATATCCAAAGCCCACCACCACCGCCATTTCCAACCGATATTAATTCTTTATCTACCAAATTAATCACGATCCTCCACAATGGTATGATATTGTCCGCTTTGAGCATAGGCTCTCATGGCCTCGTACCAATAGAGAGAGTATTCCTAGGAGTCCTTTGTTCGATATTTGAAGATTTACCAATCTATTGGTACGACTAAGTTTAGGGCATGGTTTAAATACCATGTTAAACGAACACGACCCTCTACAATAGTATGATATTGTCCACTTTGAGCATAAGCTCTCATGGGTTTGCTTTGTACTTCCCCAAAAGGCCTCATACCAACGAAGAGAGTATTCATTAATTATAAACTCATGATTATTCCCTAAATTAGGGGACGTAGACTTTCATCATCCAACAAAAGAGGAGGTATTTAAAAAATAATAATTTAGCTTTTATTTATGTATTTATCTCATCAAATAAATTTATTTTTCATGAGGACAGGTGTGTTTTCTTTTTTTTTAACCCGGGTGAAAATAATAGAAGATATAGAGATAAATAAATAAATAAATAAATAAATAAATAATTCTGTGGGCTTGGCGTCTTGTTTGGCAGGCGAACCAAAGCGAACGGGGCGTAGACACCTTGGCTCGTCTCCACCCGCCTGACGCTTCTTTAACGTATAATTTCCTCCAAAGTCCAAACACTATTCCTAAAATCTCTCTCTCAAAATTCCCCCATTGGATTGTCGACCAGACCGCCATTTTCCTCTACCGCCCGCCACCCTCAATTCGTCGGATAATCCGACAATTTCGACATTCTAGTTTTCATTAATCCATTTCCATTTCCCGCATTCATTTGGCGAATGGTTACAATCTGTTGATCTTCTTCTTCTTCTTCTGCGCACTTTGATTATTGACGTATTTATAAAAATCCCGTTCGTTTTCCTTCGAGATTTCATTCGAAGTATGATATTTTCCAGGCTCAGCCGTTCTCTGCCGCGCTCTTCTCGTGCCCGAGTAAGCGTTTATCTGTGTGTGTGTGTGTATGGTTTTTTATGATGTTGTTTCTGGGGGAAGTTGTGAAGTTTGTTTTGTTTCCTTTCGATTGTAGAATTTGGTGTATGGTGGAGGACGGGCGGCGATTAAGAACATCAATGAACCGATTTTGGCTGCCGATTCCTGCCCTGGGGAGAGAGATGGGATCTTAGGGTTTTTGAGAGGCTATATTGCGTTTGTTGGGGCTCGGTCCAAATCCGTTCCCAAGGCAAGTTTGTCCGACTTGAATTTTGTCTTCGCGAATCCGAAACTCCAGCGTTTCTTCTCGAGCGAAGCCCCGAAGAAGAAAAGTAAGATTTCTTTAGACATTCTTCTGATTAAGCCATATTGATTTTTGCGATCAGTTTCACGGCTGTTGTAACAATTTTGTGCTTTCTCGAGTAAACGATGCCTTATTGTACATACATTTTTTTTTAATTGTGGCGTGGATTCTAGGCTTAATGTGATTCTTTTGCTACATTTTTGCAGACTACGAGAACTTTTATCCCAAAGGAAAGAAAGAAATTCCAAAAGGGAACGGGCAAAAATCTGAGTCTAAAGGTAACCTTTTTCTTGTTTTAGGTGCTATGAAGACTATTTTTCTGCATTTCCCTCTTTTTGTTGATCCTAGACTGGGATCATGGGTTTCGCGAGATTCAAAGTTGCTTGATTTATTTCCGATGTTTTAATTTGAAGATTATTTGAATTTGAGGTTCTGTTCGACTTCTTTTGTTTTTCTGTCCATCGTGGTATGGTTACCATGTTCTTGATCATAATCTTACGTTAAAGAATTTGAGTGGGCCGTGAAGTGGCAATTGGATGTGAGATCCCACATCGGTTGGAGAGGGGAACGAAACATTCCTTATAAGGGTGTGGAAACCTCTCCTTAGTAGATGTGTTTTAAAACCGTGAGGCTGACGGCTAACGGATCAACAGCAGGTATTGGGCTGTTACATTGGAGGAGCTGTGTTTGTGCTTAAGCATGCTTTATTTTGGGTACTCTTTTTTTTATCTCTGCATCCGTCTTACTAGTTTCTCTTTGTTAGAGGCCCGTGTTTTATTTCGAACCGTGGGCCACATTTTGTTAGAACAAGTGTTAATTCTTTTTGTGGTTACAATTTGAGCATATGTTTACATTTTTGTTAGAGTGGGCAGCTGGTACTGATCCTGAAATGAGATTAATATTCATATCAATTAGACAGTCTTTAGTAATTGGCATTTGCTCCAAATCCGGTCTGTCAAGAGCTGATTCTCTAATGGTCTGGAAATTGCTTCCCTGGCCATTGTACTAGGCTTATTTTGGATCGAGCAACTCAGCTTGTTAGCTGGTTTTTGTACCATGTATTTTGGCTAATCAATCAATAATTTGGATAAGAACTTCATGATTTTTGTTACGTTTATTTTTTGGTGGAGAATGCCAATAAAAAAGTAGAAATATTGTTGAGTTCGCTTGCATACAGCATTTGCAATAAATGTTGTAACATTGTAGTAGGTCACTTACTGGTTTTCATGCTGCAAGGTTTTCGTTCAGAAGTTTTCAGCAATTTTATTTATTTTTTCTTCATCTCAGGCGACTCGAACACCGATGACCAAGGGAGTTTTCAGGAAGCCTTCATCAAGCAGTTTCAGAACTTAGTCACCCCTCTAATAGTTATTGGTCTTCTGTTTTCCTCATTTTCTTTCGGTCCTCGTGAACAACAGCAGGTATTTTTATTGTCATGGTTTTGTTTTATTGGAGAAGGAAGTCTGGTTTATCCTTTTACATTCTATTGCACCTTGTTATTAAACACAATTTTTTTTCGATAATGTACTTTGGGTTTTTGAATGCTAGGGAAATGGTTTTTACTTTTTATTTTTATTTGGCATCTTGATTCATGATTCATTAATTACCTGGAATTTTCCCCTGCAGATAAGTTTCCAGGAGTTCAAAAACAAGTATCTCGAACCCGGTCTGGTAGACCATATTGTTGTTTCTAATAAATCAGTTGCAAAAGTATTTGTGAGGAGTTCTCCAAGTAACCAAACAAGCGAAGTCCTCCAAGGTTCTTCAAGTGGTGCTGCCACTAGAGGAAATGGAGGTCAATATAAATGCTTCTTCAATATTGGAAGTATTGAGTCATTTGAGGAGAAGTTGGAGGAAGCTCAAGAGGCATTGAATGTAGACCCACATGATTTTGTACCTGTTACATATGTCTCTGAAATGGTCTGGTATCAAGAATTGATCAGATTTGCCCCAACACTCTTGCTTTTAGGGTCCCTCTTTTATATGGGGCGCCGAATGCAAGGAGGAATAGGTGTTGGAGGTGGAGGTGGTGGGAGGGGCGGTCGAGGGATATTCAATATAGGTAAAGCTCATATCACGAAAGTGGATAAGCATGCTAAGAATAAGGTATAGAAATTTACATTCTTCTTTGAAGAATTTGGGGATCCACATAGGTTCCCTCTTTGATGTTACTGTTGTGTTAATCCACACATTTTCCAATTTTTTATTTCCAATCTTTTTCAGATCTACTTCAAAGATGTTGCTGGCTGTGATGAGGCAAAACAAGAAATAATGGAGTTTGTGCACTTCTTGAAGAATCCTAGAAAGTATGAGGAATTGGGGGCTAAAATTCCAAAGGGTGCTCTTTTGGTCGGACCGCCCGGCACTGGAAAGACCTTACTGGCAAAAGCAACTGCTGGAGAATCAGGTGTGCCTTTCCTGTCTATATCGGGTTCAGATTTCATGGAGATGTTTGTTGGCGTTGGACCATCAAGGGTTAGAAACTTGTTTCAAGAAGCCAGACAATGTGCTCCTAGTATAATTTTTATTGATGAGATTGATGCAATTGGTCGTGCAAGAGGACGTGGAGGTTTCTCGGGTTCTAATGACGAGCGTGAAAGTACTCTAAATCAATTGTTGGTTGAGATGGATGGGTTTGGAACGACGTCTGGTGTTGTTGTACTTGCTGGAACTAATAGACCTGATATCTTAGACAAAGCTTTACTGAGACCTGGTCGATTTGATCGTCAAATTACAATCGACAGACCTGATATCAATGGGCGTGAGCAAATCTTTCAGATCTATTTAAAGAAGATCAAACTTGACCATGAACCAACATATTACTCACAAAGGCTGGCTGCATTAACTCCCGGATTTGCTGGAGCAGACATTGCAAACGTCTGTAATGAAGCTGCTTTGATTGCTGCAAGGAATGAAGGCACACAGGTCAAGATGGAAGATTTTGAATCAGCTATTGATAGAGTAATAGGTGGTTTGGAAAAGAAGAACAAGGTAACTAATTCACATCCATCACTACGTAGTTTGCTCTCTTTTTGATTAGGCTTTAGCATATTCCTGGATAATATTGTCACTTTGTAGTAATATAAAATACTTTTGTCTACTGAGTAGGTGATAAGCAAGTTGGAGCGCCGAACTGTTGCCTATCATGAATCAGGCCATGCTGTTACTGGCTGGTTCTTGGAGCATGCAGAACCTTTGTTGAAAGTAACAATTGTTCCTCGTGGTACAGCAGCTTTAGGGTTTGCACAGTATGTTCCCAACGAAAATCTTCTCATGACCAAGGAGCAACTTTTTGATATGACTTGCATGACCCTCGGTGGACGTGCTGCTGAACAGGTAGTTATATATAGTCCTTATAGTTTTAGTCCACTGACATCTTTACTTAACTCCCTGACACAATTCTTATTCAGTAAGTTGTTTGAAAATGTGACATATAAGTGTTAGGAACCATGAATCTCCACGATGGTATGATATTGTCTACTTTGAGTATAAACTCTCATGGTTTTGCTTTTGATTTTAGTTTTTCCAAAAGGCTTCATACCAATAGAGATGTATTCCTTACTTGTACACTCGTGATCATCCGCTTAATTAGTCAATGTGGGACTCTCTCCCAACAATCCTCCCCTCGAATAAAGTACACTATAGAGCCTCTTCTGAGGCCTATGGACCCCTTGAATAGCCTCTCCTCTTAATCGAGGTTAGACTCCTTTCTTTGGAGCCCTCGAACAAAGTACACCATTTGTTCAATACTTAAAGTCACTTTTGACTACACCTTTGAGGCTCACAATTTCTTTGTTCGACATTTGAGGATTCTATTGACATGACTAGGTTAAGGACATGACTCTGATACCATGTTAGAAACCACAACTCTCCACAATTGTAGAATATTATCCACTTTGAGCACAAGCTCTCATGGCTTTGCTTTTGGTTTCTCCAAAAGGCCTCATTCCAATGGAGATGTATTCTTTACTTATAAATCCATGACATCCCTTAATTAGCGAATATGAGATTCCCTTCCAACAATTCTCAACAATAAGTGAACGTGAATGAGTTTGGTTTGGATTGAAAAGTGTGAGAGAGAGCTTGAAAGCAGTTGAATGGTCTCAAAAACTAATGAATTTGGTCGGCATTTCAATTTTCATAACAAAAAAGATGTAGTAAGGGATAGATCGATAAAACCAAAGGGCGTCTTATGGACCTCATTTGTCACCATGTATAAATAATGGCAGGAATGTCCAGAAATCTTTAAATCAAAGGGTGTTCTTAGCGCTAGCAATTCTTGAAATTTGTTTCTATTGTGGCTTGCTTGGCTGTGTTGTTGAAGAAGGCTATTTTGTATGATAATACAGGTTTTAATAGGTAAAATTTCAACTGGAGCTCAAAATGACTTGGAGAAAGTCACAAAGATGACCTATGCTCAAGTTGCAGTCTACGGATTTAGTGACAAAGTGGGGCTACTTTCTTTTCCTCCAAGAGAAGACGCTTTTGAAATGTCCAAACCCTACAGTAGCAAGACTGCTGCAATAATCGACACCGAGGTACGAGAATGGGTTGGGAAGGCATACGAGCGCACGGTCCAGCTGATAGAGGAGCACAAAGAGCAAGTGGCTCAAATTGCTGAATTGTTGCTTGAAAAGGAAGTTCTTCATCAAGAAGACTTGGTTCGTGTCTTGGGCGAACGACCATTTAAACCATGCGAGGTAACAAACTATGATAGATTCAAGCAAGGTTTCGTAGACGCAGACGAGAAACGAGTGGAAACGCCCCCAGTTCAAGCAGTTGAGGAGGATGGTTCTACACCTTTAGAGCCACAAGTTGTCCCCACATAACTCCGGCTGTAGTGTACATTAAGATCTTTTTTCCTTTTTGTTCCATCTTTGCTAATGGATAGATAGATTTAGCCGTTCATGATTTTCATGGCAAATATTTGAAAAAGCTGCTATTCAGTTGGATTGGGGTTAGTGGTGCTTATTGAGGTTAATTAAGCATTTAATCACTAATTCCTGATTTAATAGGACTGTATTTCAAATTTTCCTCTGTATTCTTAATTCGAGGCTCCCATAAGTTGGCCCGTGCATTCATGAATATAGAAATAAAATATAATCATATAATTGTAATTTGAAAATACAACTCGAATTTTATTTTAATCATATCAAGTTGAAATTACGTTTTAGTCCTTTAACTTATAATTTGATAGATTTCTAAATATCAATATAGTTAGAATTTTATGTTACTTTAAACACTAACCTTTAAATTTTGAATATTAAAAATATGAAATATAAAAATTAAAAATTAGTTTATTAAATATTTTTAACTTTATTGAAAGTTTAAAATTTATAAATTTAATGGACAGAAAACTTAATTTTTTTTAAAAAAAAATGCAAATTATTGACAAATTATTAAGGATATTAAAGATAAATTATTAAGGAAAATTTAAAAATAAAATGAGTGTAAAAGTAATTAAATCAGAACAAAACGATTATTATTATTATTATTATTATTTGGATATTATTAGATGGGCGCAAACTCTCCATGGCAGCCCACCGGTTTGAAAAGGCCAATGGCATATCTGTAATTTGGTGTCGATTTGAGGTTATATTGGGTAATCAACAAATTGAACGTTGATCCTCAGGGAAACCCTCGTTCCCTGCCCGAAGGCGCAGATTGTAGAGAGCTTCAAGGTTGCGCGCGCTACGTAAACGCGAGAGCGAAAGAGACACAGAAAAGAGATTAGAGAGTGACGTTCGTGGTTTGAGCTTTCCTTTGCCCTAGCTATTATGGCCAAGCGCGAGATTTCCAATACGTTAAGAAACTTGAAGGTAAACTAAGCTTCATTAGATTTACTCCTTTCTCATGCTTCATTAGGGCTTGAATTTTCTGTGTTTTCGATCAATTCTCTCAGGGACTGCCGAATTATGTTCTAGATTTCTTTGTTTTGATTCTGGTTCTTGCAGCGCTGTACTTGTGAAGAACCAATTATTATTGTTATTGTTATTGATATCCGTGAGTGAGAACCGATTTAAATTGTGAATAAACCATGGCGTAATGTGAATTATTGTTTTTAATTGTCAGTTCATGCAAAGGGCGGCTCAGAAAGAGGAGCAACCTAAAAAAGAGGAAGAAGTAAAACCAGAGGAGAATTTATTTCCCTCGAGTAATATTATCAGAAAGTGGTAGGCTACTTTTCTTTTCAATTGTTTTGTTTGTTAGTTATTATTTATGGTTGTTTCACCGCCTTCTCTGATTGTTAATGTTTGTTTTTTCATGATCAATTTAACAAATTGTACACAAATCTAAAGTACTGTTCTTCCGGAGCATTTTAGTTTCTGGAAACGAACCTTGATGAATTCTGTTTTGGTTTTCTTTGTTTCTCTTTATCATTATTGCTAGAGTTTTGCTTTCTGAGTTTGAAATACATATGCCTTGGATGGAAGTAGTTCGCTATAGTACAAATTAAATTCGTACCTGCCTTGCATACAGAAAATCTAGATAGAATAACAACCTTTTATATGTGCGTCTAGTGTGACATCGTTACGTTTCAAACCAATCTCTGCTTATGACCATAACAGTGCCATTTTTGTAAGCTTGTCTCTTCTATATCTTTTTTCAAGAAACTGGTTTCCTTTTTCATGGTGTAGTGTGGTTTTAGTTGAAGGAGATCCTCATCCCGGGGCTCTGCAAGGTCGATTGTCATTTCAAAGCTTTAATCCTTCAATTGATGTGAGTATATGTTTTCAGTGCCCTACAATTTGTCTGTTGACTTTAGCCTTCTGTGTTTTGCATTTGCTTTTGTCTCACATCAAAGCTTCGTCATGATAGAAACTCAATGAAGAAGTAGCTAGCTTAGGTCAGCGAGAAACTCCTGACCCTTCATCTGGGAATCACAGTGAAAACGTTTCATCAAGGTTAGTGGTTATATTGTTTTGATCTGTTTCCCTCTTTCCCTGGAAAATTATTATTTGCCTACGGGATGTTATCTAACTACTGTTCTGGTTTCTGCAAATTAGTTGTCATTAGTATCTGCATTTAGGCATCTTTTAGGAGAGTGAAGTCTGAGAAAAAAAAAAAAAAAAAAAAAAAAA